TATGAGATGTTCATATTGAGTATGATGATGTTCCTGCTTGTAAGAAGTCATCAAGAAGTTCATCTTTAAGTGGAGATCTGCACTTTTATTTTATGATATTTATTGTTGAAAACAATTTTATTTAACATTTTTTAATTTTTAATAAATATTTGTGTCAAAATGACAAATTTACTAGGACACAAAGGCCATACCTTCGAACTTTGACTTTCAAACTGGTGGGGAAAATATGACTGCTTGTAATAAGAAATCTTAAATAGAATTGTTAGATGTTGTTATAATATGTAAAACCAAAAAGAGGTGTTCCAATTTACAAGACTAAATGGCTAAACCAGAATATCTTATGGAGCCACTTCCTTCTCTAGTTCATTTTTATGTACTAAATATTATTTATGTAAGTTATATAAATTATTCTGTGAATATATATATTTTTTTCTTTTAAAGATATTTTAAACATAAAATACATTTCACTTTTCTGCTTGTTTTATTTTTGTGATTTTAATTTATTAGGTCTTATGTAAAATGCATTCGTTGACATAAAAACTTGCACACTGAGAAGTAGTCATTGTATCATAGCGAAACTTAGTATGGAGGTATGGTTTGGCTAGATATACAAATGCAGTCAAAAGTCATTAATCCGGAATGATCTATAACCCGGACCTCAAAAGCTACAAACTTTCTGCACGTGCGTCAACGCATAATGCGTGAACGCATGCGCATAGGCATTTACACATGCGCGTAATACTTTTACACATGTGCATATGCGTGTGCATATAATATGTTTAGGCATGCGCGTTTAATGTTTAACAGACGGTATGAGCTAAGCTAAAATTATCTAATTATCAATTTCAGTTAATGTTGCAGATTACATTGTTCCTTAATCTTCTAATTGGATCCGGCTTATTACTTTTGCAGACTGTTAGAGCAATTTTATAAAAGTAAGCTTGAACTTTCGATTATGTCAAATAGAATTTCCGATGCTGGAGCTGCCAAAGAATCTACAAAGCGAAAGTATGTTTCGATGTCCATCAAACGAAAAGTGGAATTGCTGCAAAAAATGGATAAAGGCATATCCTTTGTTTCACTAACCATTCCGAAATTTGTTTATCAATTTCACACTGCTCTGTGGGGGGGGGGATGTTGCGGCGAGCAATGAACTGGAAGTTGATCTGTCAGCACTATCCTTATCCTCAGGGCAGATGTTTTTATTTTATTCAGTTTATAATTCCTTACTAAATGTAGTGTTTCATTTCGATGTATTCCATCTTTGATATGATTTAAATCAAATTCCTCGTCATTATAAATATTACGAGTTCACATCAAATAGTTTTCTGGTTGCAATTTTCTAATTTCAACTATGCGTAATGTATGCTTTACGCATGCGTGCATTGAAAGAAATGTTTAATAAAGTAAACAAATAAATATTAAGCTTTTTTTTTTTGTAAATTTTGATACCCTTTAGATCATAATTGCTCTTTATTTCATAAATTATGGTTTCATATTTTTAATTTTATAATTTCTGCATATCACATTACCAGATTTAAATTGATGATCTATAATCCGGAATCGCTGAAATCCCGACGAGTCCGGATTAAAGACTTTTGACTGTAATTAGAAACACAGTGTGATTGCATTTGATAAATTCTTATAAAGAATGAAAGCAAAAAGACTAAAGTTTATTGCAAGTTTTGTAAATGTGAAATGAGGCCACGCAAAGCTGATTTAATGAAGCACCATGCTTCTTTACTAGAAACAAAACTCTCAACAAATCCTTCAACAGAGTAATATAAAAATTGCATATGAAAAAGTGAGCCACATAAATGAGTTTATAATGAAACTTTTTGTATTTGTTCTCATGCATCTACCTGTCCATCAACCAATTGAATAAAATTTTTAAGACAGAAATGCCATTCAATTTCATCATCTGAGACTTTACGTTTACACAAACCGTAAAGTCTCAGATGATACACTTTGTCACAGTCACAGCATTGATAGAGAAAGTCATTTTAACTGAATTGTTTGCTCAAAGAACAAGCGTGTTTGTATTAGGATACCGGAGGACATTGGACATTGTCGTGGCACATAAAAAAGCTACCCAGAGGCATTTTGCCCATCTTAATCTGTTACAGAGGGATGTTTTTTTCACTAGGGAAGTTGCTACATCACCGTGAAAGAAAATATGATCAGCTGTCACAGTTTGAGAGAAGAAGAATCATCAGGACGAAAGAAGCTGGGTGGTCAACTTAGCAAATAGCATGCTACCTAGCCTGCTCTGACTTTATTGTGAGGAGGTGTTGTGCCCAGTGGATGAGACAGAGGTTGCATATATGGTGGCCAGGCTCAGGACATCCTTGGCAGACCAATAGCTAAGAAGACCATCATATCACCTGACATGCCTACACAGTATCAACTGCATCAGTGTCCACCATTGTGACACAAGCAGCATTTTTATCACATGCTTCTGTACTTGTTCATACCATTGCAAAGAACCTGGTTGAAGGAAATTTGGTATCACTGCACTTGTTACATGTGCTGCCGATGACACCCATCCAACATTGCCTCCATTTGGAGTGGTGTTACACTCAATAGAATTGGACTGCAGCCAAATAGAACCTTGTGTCTTCTGATGAATCAAGATTCAATTTGGACAGTTTTGACAAATGTGCACATGTGTGTGGAAACCCTGTGATGAATGCCTCAGTTCTGCCATTGCTTCTCAGAAGCATGGCAGAACTGAGATGATAGCTGGTGTGATGGTATGGGGTGTTATTGCATATGACACCCAATTGCCTCTAATATGGATCCATGGTTTCATAACAGCCCATTAGTCATTCATGACATTTTTCAACAAGGTGATAGTACAGTAAAGGTGTCATAGGCATTGGCTGCACCACATTACTACCCTTCCCTGGCTTGTTTGATCCCCATATTTGTTCACCCATTGAGCATATCTGCATCTACTTGGAATAGCAAGTTGGACAGCCTAAGAATTTAAATGAATTAGAAGAAAACACACTGTAACTGTGAAATGAAATGATGCAGGATACCATATGAAGCATGTATGCTTTAATGCTTTTTTGTGTCTCATCTTATATTTACACTATGCCTAGCAAGGTACTGAAACCTTTTTTCATGTGTAGTTTTTCCTGTAATAGGTGATCCTTTAGCTTAGCTTTTGTAATCTGTTATATCAACATTACACAAACATATATAAAATTTTGTTCAGTTTTTTCTTGTGCAAATTTTTGTGATAATGATTGTGTAAGTTCATCTCCTTTTTTGAGGGGTAAAGGACGTGGAATAAAGAGATGAACCTAAAGAATTTCATTTATTGTAAAGTATTATTAATTAAATCAAATTATTAATAAATCAATTTAATTATTAAGTGAAACTTACAGTAATTTCAAGACCTTTACATTCATATGACATTATGAGATTCAAATGGTGGTTGTAGTATAGCAGAGACTAACAGCACAAATTAATGTTTGTTACAAATCAAGACTTAGTTAAATGATGTCACTTCACCAATTAGAATACAGTATCTGATTTTTGAAGAAAGATATTAAAAAATTAAGTGTGGAATATAGAATTCTGCATTTTTAAAACCTAGTATTGAAAAAAAAAGTGTGTAAAATTTTACATATTTGATATCTTATAGAAGGATTTGAGGGCCTCTCTAAAGTGGAGAGGCCAGAGCACATGCCCCATTTGCCCTTGTATAAACTGAGTGTTGTCGGAAAGAAAGGTAAAGTGTATCAAAGTTTCATTTCATATTAGAATCTCTAAAAAAGTTTGACAATCCATTGTTCTTAGTGAAAGTTGGTTCAGTGTCACACCAGATATCTTGAAAATGTTCAGTTACTAAACAAGTAAAAGTACTGAAAAGTTATCTTTGTAAGGGAAAGAAATGCCTTTGTGGGAAGCTTCCCAAAGGAAATGTGTTCATATCTATATAACACATGAAAAGAATATTATAAAAAATCATGTGGGCTATCTGTCCAGCCAGTGGAATCCTAAATCAAACCCAAGTTGAAATACCAGGTTATTCAGCTTCTTTAATCATTGAGCCACTGATGGTCTGCAACAAAGGAAAAATTATTCAGTATTATTTTTGTAATGTTTCATAATCTTTATTTTTAATGAATTTCAGATATTTTTATAAAATAAACTTAACATACTTGTGCTATCCTAAAATTTTTATAAAATTAAATGGTACTTTGTTATTTCTTTAAATGGTACAGTTTTAAATGGTTAATGCAGCATCTCTAAAAAACATTGTTAAAATCATAATGTACACTTTTACAATCTAAATATTGTTCTTTTTTATAATAAGTGGTTAGGAAAGAGAGTTGTAATATCTTGAGAAACCTGGTTATTTATGTAACCAGTCGTACAGTACTAACAGCCATTTATGAGCAGAATAGTAATTTTTGTATATTACATATATTTTTAATTATATCAACCTGTAAATTGGCCTTGAAAGAATAAATGTACCTGCCACCCTGACGATGTTCTAGAAAATGTTTTAAGGTGAAAAAAAAGCCTTGAATGCCATACAGTATTTTCCGGAGAGAAGTAATAGATAATGATTGTGATGTGATGGTCATCAACAAGTTCAGCTCCCATTCCAGCTGTGAACCTCAGTGGGTGCAAATGAACACAGCTCACATTGCAATTTTATGAATGACAGATATCACACACATTTGGGAAGAAAGAAGTGCTTAATGCCACAAACACTGAAGGATTGAAATGCTGTTTAGTCATTGAACCATCAGCGGGAAGCAGAGGATTAATACCATCAAAAGCAAAGAATAATTTCTATACAAGTTCTTTGCCAATGGCTGATAACTATCTGCATTAATATGAAGGTGTAGTGCTTGTTTATTTTGTACAAAGAGTAAATGCTTAATTAAGCTGCTATTTAGGTATATTTATACAATGTAATAAATCACTTCCATGAAGCTATTTTAAAGAGTATTTTCTATTTTCATTCATTTTTTCAGGTTAGTAAAAAGGAACTGAAAGATTTTTTTTCTAAATTTGGTAAAGTTACAGATTGTCTCATAGTTCAGGACCACATCAAAAGGAAGTCTCGGGGGTAATGTTATTTTATGCTTTGTGAAATAAAATTTTAAGAAACTAGTTATGCGAAGATTTATTATTCATGTATATAATTATAAAATTTGTTTTAATTTATATTGTATTTAAATTATTTTTATATAATGCTGTTTGTATATGAAATCTCTTTTATGTCTCTGGATTATTTTTTTGTTACTGTCCTTCATAATTATACTTTATTCCAAATTTATTTGCTTTTCTCTATTATAAGGTATGGTTTTGTAATATTTTCAAATCTCGTTGATGCTGAGAAAGCTAGAAATGCACCTCTTCCTGAATTAGAATTACATGGGAGGTAATTATTTTAAACATATATGCTTAAATCTTATAAAATTTTTAGTTCTTATATCAATGAATTTTGATATCTCATATTATTTGTGCATATGCGTTAATATAATATTTGTAGTTCTAATATTTTTAAATGAGAATAAAGCAAAACAATTCTGTATTGAGATACATAATACATTATTTTAAGGTACACAATACATTTTTTATTAATTATGATAATGCTATAAGTATTTATAATTACCACTTACAAGTATTATAAATGCTTTCAGTTAGATATATTGTTAAAAAATAAAATGAAAACAAAATCAAATGTGTTTTTTGCCTTTTAAATTGCTCAGTTAATTAAACAGTTGTAATTTGAAACATAAATTGAAGGTCTTATGTCATATCAAATAGGAACACAAGAATTTGCTGTTTGCAAAGAAACCATGTAGAACAGAGATGACAAACTATGGCTCGTGGGCCATCTCCAGCCTGCTGTTAATTAAAAAAATATAATATAGTTAAGATATTACTCTATAATAAACTGTATCGTTCCAGTTTTAGTATATGCACTGCCAAAGCAAGTACATACAATATATAATATTAAATATTACTATATTATTACATAATATATAACATTGTATAGAGTTCATGCCAAAACAGAAAAATATGTAGTGATGGTGGTTGATACAGCATAATTTTCGATTTTTGCATTTTTCGTGGATCTTCTCTGTCACGTGAACAATTTAAATGTTTAGATGCAAGGGAAAAACTTATCTATCGACTATGTGGGCCCATCTAAAAGATTTTAAACTAAAATTTGGTCTGTTTGCTGGGCAACTAGCTAAGAACGACTTGTCTCATTTCTCGAAGTTAAATCAATGTTGTTGTAAATGAACAGAAACTTAAGAGTTATAAAAATGACCTGAAGAAACTGCATTTTGAGTTTGAATGCAGATTTCAGTGCTATTCTGACAGAACTGTATATTTGCAGTTTGCCTTTCAGTGTAAATTGGGAAGCAGTGAGGCCTGATTTGCAGTTTGAATGAACTGAGTCGCAATCTTAGAATCATATCAAGAAATTGTTTTTGTGTTCGAACATTAGAGTTTTACAGATTGTTATTGAAAGCACGTTTCCAAAACTTAATATCTGTGCCCAGAATATTAATATTATGTTTGCTTTATCTTCTATATGTGAATGAATATTTTTCGTCTAGAACCTTAGGAAGAATTATGTTAGAACTAGATTGACTGATGAGCATTCAGAATCACTTCTCAGAATTAATGCATGGCAATTTGAACCTGAATTTAGGGAACTTTTATAAATGCAGTTACAGTTTCATTCATCGCATTAATATTTATGCACTCATGTTGAAGTTTTAAAATAAATTATACTGGCCAGCTAAATTTTTTTCTTTTGTTTTTCGGCCAAAGAAGTTTGTCCATCACTGATGTAGACGGTATGTTAAGAATCTCAACATAACTATTATAAATATATAGTGGGATGCTGATATAAAAATACCTGCAGATTAGATCTCATGACCGAAAACATTATGCAGCACATTGATTTGTATGACATAAATGATGCTGTGTCTCATCAGCATTGCTAAGGTTAAACTTTTAAGTAGCAATATAAGCAGAAGATCTTGGTCATTTATTGTAGCACCTCAGCTTAGTAACGCAAGAAATTTTTAGGAGGGGGGAGAAGGATGCAGAAAAATGTCCTATTTTGCGTGAATGTCGCAATATTCATAACTGCATCATATTTAATCCCAATTCTCTCAAAAGAATGTTTCCTTTGGAAAGTGTCATAAAATGTTTTTTTCCCCTCTTTTTTATTAACTTTAAATACAGATCTAAGAATACCTTGGTAAAGAATAAGTTATTATGAAAGAAAATTGCTTCACTTCAGACTGTTATTTTTATTCTTGGGAATTATCAGCTCTTCAGAACTATATTTTATGTGTTCACAAAGCACAGAATAGTCATTTACTTCTCTTAATTACAAAACATATAATATAACCATTCATTTATTCAAAAAATGAGGAACTAGTAACTTATACAGACATTGAATTATGTGAGAGTATTGTCAAAATATTAATTGTAATCTTTTCAAAACAGTTTTGTATCATGCCTGTTTGATGCATATATTCATAAGCATTAGACTTATGGCATTCTGACAGTTCTCTTTTGCTATGTCCACAATTGACAGTTTTTTATATATATATATATGTAATGATATTTTTAAATCAATTGATTGAATTAAATTCTAATAATATTGCTTAATAATGTGTTGGCGATTCTCTACCTAAATTGCATCCCTGTTCCTAAATTTTGGCGAAATCCTTTCTTTAGTGTAAAATATATTAACCTGTTGGCGCCCGCCAAATCGCCAAACTCATAAATCTGTCATATTACATAAAGTCCTTAAGAACACTCCTGATGAGAAGATAGCGTCACCTCGTGATTTCAATTAATATCGCTGATTGGATGAGCCTCGTGACACACACATGTGTATAAATAGGGCTTCTGCTCAAGGTACGAAAAGAACGCTTGTGAGATGGATGCTAAAATAAACCTACCACTTTATATTCCAAAATTTGTCTCATTCCTGTTGCCCCGGCTGCACAAAACAAATAATGTATGAGAAATTACATTTCATATATATATATATATACCTTTGCAAATAACTGGCTTCCTCACATTTCAGAATTATCTAGTTATGTACAAAATCAGCTATTTAACTTTGCTACTTTTCATGACCATGTGAAAAAAAGTCTCACTGCTGCATAAATGAAATCCAGTTTTACTGTTATAGTTTTGCCAACAACATTTCGTTTAAAAATAACATGATGGTTATCTGGGGTTTCTGTAGCAGTCATTGGGTACAAATATTATTGTAGTGTTATCTAGCAATTATAAGTATCATAAATTACTATTATGTTTTGCTAGAAACATCCATGGCAGAGTCTTTTTTTTTTTGTTTTGGACTTTTAAATTATTCTGTCATGTATCTATCAGCCACTTGCATCGGGTGAACATTGTGTCATTGTGTAAACATAACACTTTCAATTCATCTTCAGTGCAGCCTTGTGCCAATAAGTCAATCTTGTGCTCAGTGTTGCCATTCAGTAAATGTATAATCTTTAATTTATGTTTAAAATTTTATCAGCTTGTAACTATTTAAAAAACTGAGGGATTTAAAAGCAATAAGAATATTTTTAAGAATTTAAATCTTTTATTTTATAATAATGTCTTTAATTAATGTAAGTTACATTACATTTGATTTATTATATATACAGTCAAAAGTCATTAATCCGGACTCGTCGGGACTTCGGCAATTCCGGATTATTGATTTTTCCGGATTATAGATCATCAGTTTAAATCTGGTAAGATGGCATGCAGAAATTACAAAATTAAAAATATGAAATCGTAATTTATGAAATAAAGAACAATTATGATCTAAAGGGTATCAAAATTTACAAAAGAAAATGCTTAATATTTGTTTCTTTACTTTATTAAACATTTCTTTTAATGTAAATTGTTTAAGTTGCTTCATTTCATGTGACAATACTTTCTCTTTAATTCTATTAAACAGACATAATTTCTTGTTTAGTTACAAAGTTCCGCTGTTCAAGTCTTATAATTGTTGCGCCGAGAATACCGACTAATTTGTCAATCGAAATGTTTTCGTTTTCAATAACCTCTGTGTCACTTTTCTTCACTATCGGAAGCGAATTGTAATGACGAAGAACTTGATTTAAATCATATCAAAGACGGAGTACATCGAGATGAAATACTACATTTAATAAGGAACTATAAGCCAAATAAAATAACATCTGCCCTGAAGATAAGGATAGTGCTGACAGATCAACTTCCAATTCATTGCACGCCACGGCGTCCCCCCCCCCTGCTGCCGCAGAGCAGCGTGAAATTGATAAACAGATTTCGGATTTCAAAACATACTTTCGCTTTGTAAATCCTTTACATATTAGTAAATATATATCGGAAATTCTATTTGACATAATCGAAAGTTCAAGCTTACTTTATAAAATTGCTCTAACAGTCTGCAAAAAATAATAAGCCGGATCCAATTCGAAGATTAAGGAACAACGCAATCTGCAACATTAATTGAATTAGATAATTTTAGCTTAACTTATACCATCCGTTATACATTAAACACGCATGCGTAAACATATTATGCGCTTGCACACACTCAAATTCGCAGCCGTAAAGGTCTTACGCGCACGCGTAGACGCCTATGAATGCGATGCATGCGCAGAAAGTTTGTAGCTTTGAGGTCCGGATTATGGGTGTCCGAATTAACGACTTTTGACTGTATTTTCTAAATTTATAATTTATAATATCCAACTGATAATTTTTGTGAATATTTGCTTCAGTATTAAACACTAACTGATACTTAATGAAAAATTATTATAGCAACTTGTACAAAAGCATTAGTTAACATAACTTACTATGTCTGACAGTTATTTATTTGTAAAATCTTGAAATTAAAACCTTATTTACAGAAATTGGAAAACAAAGGAAAAATTAATTCACCTCTTTTTGAAAATTTTTTCTTTAATATGGTGTATGGTCAACTCAGACGGATATGCATACCTCACATCGTGATTTCATAGACTTTACCAAAGTGTTGATCAAGTCTAGTGCATTAGCTCCTGGAGTGTCCAGGGAGGAATTTGGCATGCTGAAATTTGGTGCCGTAAGGCATCTTACATGTGCTCAGTTGGGTTCAAGTGAGGTGTGTAAGGTGGCCAATCCGTTCAAGTGATATTTTCTATTTGCAAGTATTCTGATGCTACATATATTCAGTTAGGCCTAGCATTGTCATCCATTAGCAAAAACTCTGGGCCAGCAGTACCCGTAAACAGTCAAATCGGGGTTCCAATGCCTCATCTACTTGTCTCCAAGTGATTACAGAATCACCTTGATAGATATACAACTTGATGTGGCCATTTCTCATGATTCTTCTCCAAATCATTAAATCAGAGTTGGAGAAACGGG